ACTAACAAACACTACCCCCCTAAAGTCGATCAAATAATAATAACAAATGAATTAATTTAGAATAGCGTATATTTTCCTGCATGATGACCGAAGTCAAAACGACAGAATTCAAGACAACCACCGCCAACTGATTCACTGGCTAAGTTATCATATGAATTAAAGGGACGGACATGTGGATCGAATTTGTGAGTGAAAATCAACTTTATTCAGACAGCTTCATCAATAGCAATCGGTTACTTACGCATCACTTCTAGTTCAGTGTGATTTATATTAAGATAGGATGGTAGGACTGGATAATTTGACTTATCTATAATAGTGAATACAATACACTGAACAAAAGAGCAAAGAAGAGTGCCAGACAAGACAAAAGAAAGTATTATGAAGCTATGACAAGTGAAGCAAAACAAGCTACAGGCAAAGGAGACCTCGCATCACTCTACCAAACAACTAGGTACCTATCGGGCAAACGTTTGACACAAATCAAGCCAGTGAAGGATGACAATAGAAAGTCACTCACCAAAGAAGTGGAGCAAAGAAAACACTGGGCTGAACACTTCAGAAGACTCCTAAATCGACCACCTCCTACAACGCACCCAACAATACCAACGACGGAGACAGAGCTACCAGTGAACACCAACCCCCCGACGAAATCAGAGGTCCTGAAGGCAATCAAGATGCTGAAAGCTGGAAAAGCAGCAGGACCAGATGGAATCCCAGCAGAAGCATTGAAAATGGACCCAGAGACAACAGCGGACTTTATGATGCCACTACTGGAGAAGGTGTGAAAAGAAGGCAAACTACCCGAGGATTGGAAGAAAGGCTACTGATTCAAACTACCGAAGAAAAGGGACTTAGGTCAATGCAAGAACTGGCGCGGAAGTATGCTCCTGTCCAACCAAAGTAAAATACTAAGCCGCATCATCCTGGAGAGAATCAGACAAGGCCTGGATGAAAAACTTCGACCGGAACAGGCTGGATTCAGGGGAAACAAGTCATGTATTGATCAGATCGCCACATTACAGATCATCATTGAACAAAGCTTGGAATGGCAGTCACCTCTCTATCTCAACTCCATCGACTTTGAAAAAACATTCGACAGCGCAGCGTCGATCGAGAGGTGATTTGGCAACAACTTCGCTACTACAAAAGTGCCACCGACAATTATACATCTCATCCAACAGCTGTACGACAATGCTGCATGACAAGTAATCCACAACGGGAAACTTACGGAATCCTTCGAAGTGAGGACAGGAGTAATACAAGCTGGCTGCCTACTATCGCCAATGATTTTCCTGATTGCAGTAGACTGGATAATGCGACAAACAGCGGGAAATGAGGAAACAGGCATAAAATGGACTCACACAAAAAGCTTGGAGGATCTAAACTTCTCCAATGACATATATGTCTGATTTCCCACAAACTGGAAAGTATGCAAGCGAAAAGCAACAAGTTGGCAGAAGAAGCATCAAAGATAGACCTTCAGGAGAACATAGAGAAGACAGAGGTGATGAAGATTCCTGGCCAACACCACCAACAGCAACAACAACAACTGACAACAATCAGCCAACATAGATGGAAGGAATCTGAAAGAAACAACCTCCGTCACATACCCACCAACCTTGGAAGCATCGTTTCAACTACAGCTGGACGGAACTGACGAGGATATCAAAGCAAGAATCGGAAAAGCAAGACAAGCTTTCACTACTCTCAAGTCTGTGTGGAGGTCAACAGCACTCAGCTTGAAAAATAACATCCGGATTTTCAACTCCAATGTGAAGTCAGTCAGTGCTACTTAACATACGGATCAGAGACTTGCACTGCGTGTCATAAAGAGCATCTCAAACAAACTACAGACCATCATTAACACTTGTCTTCGCTAAATACTTCGCTCAAGATCAGATGGCCAACCGGCCAGAAAAGATCAGGAACACAGATCTCTGGCAATGAGCGAACCAACCCAGCAGGAACCGATTGTGAAACAAATAGGCAGGGAGAAGTGGAGATGGTGGATTGGCTGGCCATACTCTGAGGAAACAATCCATCAAGTGACATCACTAGACAAGCCATTGCTCGAGTGGAACCCGAAAGGGAAGCGGTGAGTTGGTCGTCAGTGCGAGGGTGGGGTGACTTGGAGGAGGTGATGTGAAGAGGAGATGAAAGTGTGTGGGCAGACTTGGAGCCAGGTGAAGACTCTGGCAGAGAACGGAACGCAATGGGGACGCACGGCTGAAGCCCTATGTTCCTCTGGGAATTAAAGGAAATAATTATGATGATAATAATAATAATAGTGAATGAGAAATTATACATCACTCATTCACATAACAGGAATTTAACTGCAATTATTACAGGAGCACTGGGTTAGTAATTTAGAAGTCTGTGATCAGTTTCTCAATGTTATCCAATGTTTTTTCTAAAAAAATTTCAACTTCACTCACTACCTGACTTCCAATCACATTGTGTAATGATGAATACATGACCTCCAATTTCAAAAGCAGCTTTTGATTGTGAATACAGTCCGTATACAATAAGCCTACAAGGAATGGACAATCCATCAACTTTCAAAGTTTTGTGCCCCTAAGCAGAAATAGGAACCTGTTATACGCCCTATCCTCGAGGATTCGGAAGACATGCACCGAGGAACTGATTGATGTAGAATTGAGTAAACTCCAAGGAACCCTGATGGAAAACAGTTTACCGCCCAAGTTCATTGACAAGAATCTCAAATCAAAGAAGACTTCCGAAAAGGTCCAATTCGTGTCGAAGAGAATACTTCTGCTTAAACTAGAATTCAAAGGTGACATTCAAGCAGAAATCCTTCGTAAACGCCTCTCCACATCTCTCAGGTAAACAAACTCCGCCGGGAGCCTACCACTGACGTTCTTTTGCAAGAAACTGTTCAGCCAGAACGCAAAAGAAAAGCTGTCGCATTGGGCCACTTCAATGTGCATATATCAGTTTACTTGCTCTCTGACGGAGCTCAGTACATCGGCCGTACCATGAGCCAAATTGAAACATCCGCTCATGAACACTATCCGGCCTGGCTAGTAAAAGGAGAACGAACCCTTGTCCCAGCCATGGCCATCATAAACAGGTAATTCCTTTAATTGTGACTATCCCATTTCCTTTCTTATCCAAACTTCTTGTTTATTCACGTTAATTTCAAGTTTTCCTTAATCCTTATTTACAATACCACATTTTCATATCCGAAATTCCTGTCTATTTTGTCATTATATTATTTCTGCATATTTAATCCCTGATTACATAAACAATTACTCGTCACATCAGTTATGAAATCACTAGATTCTTTTAGCCAAATATCCTGTCTATATTTGTTATTTCTACATTTCTAACACCCAATTGCACAATCAGTGTCAATCTTCTCAGTAATTATGATGCTACTTTGTTTGAGTTTTATCCGTCCCCCTCCCTCTGTTTATTGTGGCATTTTAATTCCTTATTGTAATTAATTATTAATCTGACCCTTGACCGGAAATTATTCTGGAACTCTCCCACCCATTTATCATAAATATACGAATGTACCGCTATCATCCAGTTGATGACTTCATGGAAAAGAAAATTTTCTTCGCCGCAACTGTCTTTTTAATAATTCCTATTGTCGAATGTGTATATTCCATAAATACAACTAACTTAGATCAATTGCTGAATATCATTCACATCAAAAATCAAAAGAATCAAAGTGTTAGCCTGTTATTTCTCTAGTTCAGAACGATATTAACTACCAGTGAACTCTCATCGATTCGATAAATTATCCTCCAAAATAGGCTTCAAGTAACTAGTTGTAAAGTCCAATGGAGGGATTTGTGACTAAATAGGTTGTATGGGAACTCAAGAGTGTGTGGTTTATTTTATTCCAACACATGTTGAATAATGCACTTATGAGTACTATCGTTTCTCTGAAATTCTAAATAGCAGTAGAAGTACAATACCAGACACTATTTAATTAGTTTTCAGGGGATAAACCCCAATTCATTATGTTCTTAACAAAGATTGTAATTGTATTTCTCAACTCCTAGACAACACTGCATACGAAGACAACTGGAAACACCTGAATAATAATAACATGCAACAATATATACAATATTAAAGCTACTTACTTCTTCAGCACATGTATCTCATTAATGTTACGTCATATGGGTGTGAAGATTTCAGTTACAAATAGTCTGTATCTAATTCGTTAAGCATGAATCTTTAGGTAGAACTGGGTAGTATTTACTAATATGCAATCAAGAACACACAATTACTTAGTCAATTAGGGATTAGTGTTTAGGAATCAACCAAAAGGAAGCGTCCTGAACCTATGTTTCTTACTTATCGGCACTCATCAATAAGGTGTATCTGCAAACTTGAAGGGATTGATGTGACCCTCTGAAATTCAAACCCACGTGACTCACTGCCTCAGTTAACGATGTTTCAGCTAAGCTATTTGACACCTCAAGATTAAGGTTATTTTCCTTCTTAACTTCAATTCTAGATAATATCGACAAGAACATCGACGAATCTTTGCAGGAATTGTTCTATTTCACTTCGACAAATTAATCGTGATGATATAACGAATCAATATTTCTCTAGATGTTACATGCTGCTGGTTGATTAATAAGTAGCTAGACATCACCACTGATGAGCTGAGCTCCAGACAGACGACCAACCGGTGTTTAGATCACTTTGATCCGACTAGCAAGCACTAAGTGTTTTTGATATCAGTAGTATCCAACTACTGAAATCTGTCAATCAGTAGTATGTCCAGGTATGTATGCTTTCTTGATCATCATTGAATGAGATCAAGCAGACCATGTATATATTGTAATTTGCATAATTTTGGTTTCCAAAGGAAACTGTAGTGAGATTTCAACTCGAACTGTGTCAGCTGTAAATTGTAAATTAAATTCTCAAACTGAGAATATCATTTCACCAAGAACATACGTTGAAGAGAATTGTTTGTTTTTGTTATTAGATAAAATATATGTAGTACATAGACTTACTTGATTTATTGGACTTCCCATACATGCATCAGTATTCAATTCTAAGCGAATCGGTTCACCAAGACGTGCAATCTTGCGTCCATTAAATGTTCCAGCAATACAATGAAAGCGTTCAGGTACAGTTTTCCAATTTTTTGCTAGATGTACCATATCACCAGCATCTAGTACTCCAAAACCGAATAAGTGATTGAATTCTAAACCAGCACCATTGATTGTCCAATTATGATTATGTTGTCTATCGTATAGATGATTACGTTTCGATGTAAGCACAGTTAAATGTTGTACATCTCTCCAAGTGAGTTCTGGTTGAGCTTCTAATGCCAAAGCGAAAACACCAGCAGCCTCTGGTGCTGCTGCTGATGTACCTGAATGATGAAGTGTACAATTTCCGTATAGATCAATAGTTCCTACTCCAGCATCATGAACAAATGGACTTTTACCATTTGAAAATGTCGATGCAAGTGTTGAAGCACAAGATTCATCATAAACAGCTGTATGGCCATCGTTTGTAACAGAGTTAATACTTATTGTCCACATACTTGCTGCATAACCATCACAGTTACAGTCATCATTCTCTCCACCATCTCCTGATGCCCAAACATAAAGACTTCCTTTGCCTTTACGACCATTATTTACGCCATCAACAAGAGCACGCATAGTCTGATTTCTTGGACCATCAACAGTTGTTCCATCATCTGTAGGCCCCCAACTAGCTGAATATATATCTATAAGATCACGTGCATAAGCCATTGCAGCTGCTTCAATTAAATCAGTCATATACGGCTGATCTAACATTCGTAGTCCAGCCACTTTGGAACCCGGTGCAACGCCAACACCACAAATACCATTTCCAGCTATAGCAGAAACTTCACCAGCACACCGTGTACCATGACTGTTAAACCAGTCATCTGTATACCGAGGATACGGAAAGGCATCGTTACTTGAAAAGTCATAACTTGCCTCTACCGCATAATTTTCTGCTATATCTGGATGTAAGTAGTCCACACCATCATCCATAATGGCGGTAATCACCCCACGACCGGTGATATTTTGTGACCATGCAGACAGTACATTTAAATCCAATCCAGGAACACCATCAGCTTGACCTACATTGTGTAAATACCATTCCTTTGAAAATAATGGATCTGTTCTACTTCTCAGCTCACTCAATTCTTCTTCTTTATCTGATAGTACTCTTGCTTTTGGTAGGTCTATTCGACTTAAGCCATCAGAAGATAATGGACGGAAACCACGTTTCCTACGAACAAATCCTTCAATTTGTACAGCATTCGCTACTTGTGGATGTTTATTTAAGCGTTCATTATGAATATGGCTTGGTGTACCACGTGCATATGGTAGGCCTAAATGCTTAAATACAAATTCATTTGGTTCACCATAATTATGATAATTCAATGGCATGAAACCAAGTTCTCTGGCTATTTTGTTTGCTGAATGTGTTAACTCATCTCTGTTGTCTCCATCATGTTTCAAACGGACTAACCATTGATTTGTATGTATTCTTGCATATACTGTTTTTTGTATAATTATATGAAGAAGATAAATAATCCCAATCTTGAACCCAATCATACTATTCAAATTGTATTGAACTTGAACAGAAACCCAACTCAACGTTTCAATACATCATAAAAATAAACTAATGAGTACACGAGTCTACCTTGTTCCCTTATAGGAAACTCAACTTTCTATGAGTGGGCGAAATGAAAGACAGGAGTAAATTTCTATTGGCTGATTCTATTTGTCTGCATTTCGCATCTATCTATCTATCTGCATGCTTATTCAATACAAAAGAGAAGGGAAGAGAAGCGTTTTTGGGAATTTCAATATTATCTAATAAGCTAACTACTACTACTACTACAAGGTCATATGGGGAAAAATGTAAAGATTCTAGTTGGGAGAATAAATGCTTTCCTCCCACGTACATCTCTGTCTTATATCTATCTATCTATCTACTCTTGTTTGGCTAAAAATATCGATAATTTGAGTAAATACCTAATGTTTATTCTCTGTTTGATTGCTTAAAATATATTAGCGAACGAAATAAGAGGAATGATGCATATAATAGAAAAAAGTTTTCTATTTATAGAAAAAAATAAAGAATATTGATCATAACTCGTGATGAAGGGAACAACTCAGAGATTAAACAAAACTATTTAACAATATTATAGTATAATACTTTGATAAAGCTATTAGCATTAAATAATGAAACGTCAGTAAAAAAAAAACAATATCGTTTTGTTTCTCATTCATTGGGAAATACAAGAACTTTTCTATAGTTTGGTTTGTAAGGGTTAGTTATGTTTTTACGAGTTGATCACGGATTGATATCAGTTAGAGAACCATTGAAAACCAGGGAGTACTGGACAGCTACTGTTTCATCCTAGTTTGGGAATCATCGGCAGTACGCACCCACTGGGATTCGAACCCAGGACCTTTCGGTTACAAGGCAAGCTCGTATACCATTCAGCCACTGGGACCCGATATGAGCTTGCCTTGTAACCGGAAGGTCCTGGGTTCGAATCCCAGTGGGTGCATACTGCCGATGATTCCCAAACTAGGATGAAACAACAGCTGTTCAGTACTCCCTGGTTTTCAATGGTTCTCTAACTGATATCAATCCGTGATCAACTCGTAAAAAAAATACAAAAACCTTTATTATATAATATAGTTCCTTTGGAAAAAAAATTATGTTTGTTAAATCTCAGCTAAATTGAAATGATTAATTGCAACCTTTCGTTAGACAATCTGGTTCCGAACTTCTTCAGGGAAATTAATCAAAATTAACATAACAGAGGTTTATCTATAAAAGGAACAACTCTTGTTTTTAAAAACTTTGTCCAATCATGAGTCATGAAACAGGCATCAAAATGTATAACAAAACAAAATTGTATGAACTGTGATCAAAATTTGACCCCAGACTTTCAGCATTAGTCTACTTTTGTGAAAATATGCGTATATATAGCATACAATGGAGTGTGTGTGTGTTTGTGTGTGTGGGTGAACAGTCATAAAACATTTTGTTAGCCTTTCCTCAAGAAGACGTAGACAATCGGGAATTTCGACCAACCAGGAACCGATTGTGAAACAAATAGGCAGGAAGAAATGGAGATGGATTGGCTGGCCATGCTCTGAGGAAACAATCCATCAAGTGACATCACTAGACAAGCCATTGCTCGAGTGGAACCCGAAAGGGAAGTGGCGAGTTGGTCGTCAGTGCAAGGGTGAGTGTGACTTGGAGGAGGTCATGTGAAGAGGAGATGAGAGCGTGTGGGCAGACTTGGAGCCAGGTGAAAACTCTAACAGAGAACCGAATGCAATGGAGACGGACGGCTGAAGCCGTATGTTCCTCTAGGAATTAAAGGAAACAATAATAAAATAATAATTAATTGTTGATACATATCCAATTTTTATTTATTAGTCAGGATTTGCCATGCATCAGCTAACATCACACCTTCACTTCTGCTCAAACTGTTGGGATGCACCCATATATATGCAGGGCTTCTGCAGTCAGTCTTTCTTTATACGAACCAAAACCTTTCTGTAGAACCTTAGTCTTATCAAAGTCGATTTTGTGTCCTGTTTCCATCTAGTGCAGTACAATCGCTGACTTGTTTTCTAGCTCCTTCAAGTCTGCAGTGGTCTTTGGAACCACCTTTAGACATTGTTTATGCTCTTTCTCCCTTACACGTATCTGCCTGGAAGTTTCTCCTACATATACGGCGTTACAGTCCCCACAATTGATCTGCTTTACATAATTCTGTTGGTTTTCTTCTTCTATTTTATCCTTAACCTTCACCAGTGATGAGTGTAAGGTGTTAGTTGCACGAGAATACACTCGTTAAGTTTGGACCAGATTGCCGAACGAAACGTTGGAATTACTCATTTCAATTTCGCTGAGATTTTACAGATATAGGTTTTTTTTACAAATGTCTACTTCTCACTCGGTGCCCAATTATTTTGCAACTATTCGGTCAAATCTTGATCACAGTTCATATGAATAATATAGTTTCAGTTGAACAATTACAGTTTTGAAATTCTACATTCACCAAGAAAGAGGAATAAGGTGTCATCATCATCATCATCTAATCTGTGTCCCATCTAAGTGTATGTCTTTACTACTTTCAAAATTATTTCATAGAAAGTTAATTTACGTGATCATCATCGAACAAAGCATGGAATGGCAATCAAACCTCTACCTCAACTTCCTTCATAGACTTTGAGAAGGCCTTCGACAGCGTTGACCGCGAAGTAATTTGGAAACTACTCAAGCACTACGCCGTACCTCAAATATTCATCAACCTTATTCAACAGCTGTACGACAACGGCACATGTCAAGTCATCCACAACGGAAAGCTCAGCGAGGCGTTTGGAGTAAACACAGGAGTCAGACAAGGGTGCTTATTATCACCAATGATATTCTTAATTGTAGTGGACTGAATTATGCGTCAGACAGTGGGAAACGAGAAGACAGGGATATCCTGGACCGACATGAAGAACCTAGAAGACCTGGATTTCGCGGATGATTTATGTTTGATGTCACACAAAATCGAAGACTTACAAGCGAAAACCGACAAACTGGTCGAAGAGACTGGCAGCAAAGACAGGACTCCAGGTGAACATAGACAAGACGGAGGTTATGATAATAACCAACCAACAACAACAGCAGCAACATCCAGTGCCAATCATCATCAATGGGAGGGATTTGAAAGAGGTTACTTCATTCACTTATTTAGGGAGCATTGTCTCAACTACAGGAGGAATGAACGAGGATGTCAAATCAAGCGAGAATCGGGAAGGCGAGAAACACATTCATCAACCTGAAACCAATCTGGAAATCTTCCGCTGTCACTCAGCCTGCATCAACAACAAAGTGATTCGGATTTTCAATACAAACGACGTCAAGTCAGTCAGTTCTTCTATACGGATGGATCAGAAACTTGGCGGGTCACAAAGAGTATTTCCAACAGCCTGTTGCACACCTTTATGAACAGTTGTCTTCACTCTATACTGAAGATTAGATGGCCGAAAGAATCACCAAGAGGAAAATATGGGAACAAACAAAACAAGAACCAATCACCCAACAAATATTCAGGAGAAAGTGGAGATGGATTGGACACTCGCTAATAAATAATACAAGTGTCCATTTGCAGGGATTTCATTTGATTTTTTTCCTTCACGTTCCCAGTGGAACATAGGGCACCTTCAAGCTAGTGGCTTGAAGTTTCTGTAGCAGGATGGGGTTGCTAGTCTCATGCCCAACCTTTCCTCTTTACCAGCATTATTTCTGGTTTAGTGAGGTAAAGGAGTGCATCAGCCGGGGTTCGAACCCCGGACCATGTGCATGGTCGGCGAGCGTCCTAACCGCTATGCCACTGACAAGAAGGAAGTACTGGACAGCCAGCTGTTTTGTCGTCTTAGTTTGGGACTCTTCAGCAATACGCACCCACCACAGCGGGTTCAAACCCACAACCTCTTGGTTATAGGGCTAGCTTATAGACAACTAAGCCACACGGGGACGCTATCCAATGACTAGCACACATATATTCCAACTTCTGTCAATAATTCACAATATAGCACGACCACTAGCCAATGTCAGCTCTGGCGAGTTTCTTTCCTCACACCCGACTTGCTGTAACCCCAATGGTCAAAACTTCTCACTAGAAACAGATTTGATGTTTAATTTTCTTCTTTTAATAATGACAGTCTGTTTAAATGGAAAACAAGCCAATCCTACTATGTACTACTGGATGGTATGAATAGTTCAATGACACCCAAGTCAACTAACACTGCTTGTTAGACAGATCAAAGTGATGTGAACACTGGGCGACCGTTTCACTCACTTGAGACCCAAGCTCAATAGCAGACTACATAACATGATGTAAAAAAATCTTCGAAGACCAGAGAGAATCGTGGTAAATTTTTACTTCATGGAAAATTCCCATAGGAACATGTAAAAAAATTATTAAAAAGACGGTTGCAGCGAAAAAAAATTTTCTTTTCGACGAAGTCATCAATGATAGCGGTACATTCGTGTATTTATGATAAATGGGTGGGAGAGTTCCAGAATAATTTCCGGTCAAGGGTCAGATTAATAAAATTACAATAAGGAATTAAAATGCCACAATAAACAGAGGGAGGAGGCCGGGTAAAACTCAAACAAAGTAACATTATAATTACTGAGAAGATTGACAAATTGTGCAATTGAGGGTTAGAAATGTAGAAATAACAAAAGTAGATATGATATTTGGCTAAAAGAATCTAGTGGGATCATAACTAATGTGACGAGTAATTGTTAATGCAATCAGGGATTAAATATGTAGAAATAATAAAGTGACAAAATAGACAGGAATTTCGGATATGAAAATGTGGTAGTGTAAATAGGGATTAAGAAAAACTTGAAATTAACATGAATAAACAGGAAGTTCGGATAAGAAAGGCCAAGGGATAGTCACAATTGAAAGAATTACCTGTTTATGATGGCCATGGCTGTGACATGGGTTGGACATATTTCTTTTGGATACATAGCGTGGGTTTGAACTTTTGAATGGCTAGTTCCTCGGCTATGCCCA